TTTGTTCAATTTATGAAGTTCATACTCAGCAAGTGTTTAATTATAATAAAAGTGTACTCCATTCCTTAAAATGGAAAGAGCAATGGTGAACAAGAAAAAAACCTGAGTTTCAGTTACTATTCTAGGAGGAAATACTACGTTCTCATATTGTCGTCATAATTAATTTTTAAAAAACCTAACTAGCTAGATCTAATAACAAATATATCAGCATATTAATAATCTTGTACAACCAAAAAAATAAAAATAAAAGGTAAACGAAAACGAACCAGGCTATATTCCAGTCTGGAGAAAAGCAAAACAACAAACTCCCTACTGGATTTCTTGACCACTTGCCTTCCTTCAGAAGTACCAAAACCCAAAAGCCTTTTTTCCTGAACTTACACACAGGACCTGTTTCCTGTGTACTACCCTATCAAAATGATCAGCATTACCCACAATAGAATCATTCAGTTTGAGACCACTTAAAAAAAAAAAGTCCAAATTGCCAATGGTCACTACGTAAAGAACTGGTCAGAAACCACAGAGTGTTATTCTAGGACTAGAACCAATCGACCGACAGGACTCTGCCCCAAGACTCAGAAAGCGGACTCGAAACTGCACACGCGGTCACGACGTCCCTTCAACCACATGACCTCCCTACGCAAGCAGGGCCAACGTGACTAAGTAACTCTCCCTTTCTCGTAAGACCAGGCAGGAGCCAGGGGTCGGCGCGGCAGGACAGAGCGGAGGCGGGCCGGTTAGAACCGGTCGGGCAGAGGCCCGGGGCTCCGGCTGCCGCCCTTACCGTTAGGAGATCTGGGAGGGAGGAGAGGAGGAGAAACACCCTAGCGTCCGGGCAGAAAAGGCCCTGGCCTGGAAGGGGGGGTTTGGGGGCACGGGGAGGGGCAGCTCCGTGTGTGGTGACCCTGTATGAACATGCACTCGGGCAGCTCCACCCGCACTGAGGCGTTAGGACGGCGGCCTGAGGAGGCCGGGCGCGGCCCACATCGCGCGGCCCCCAGTGGCGGAGCCCGCGGCGCCGCAGCGGCCAAGAGCCTCCACTGCACCCTCCGCCGGCTCGGGGGCCGGTCCCTCGCCCGCCCACCAGGTCACTCAAGGGCGCGCCGGCTTCCGACTCGGGCCCGCGCGGGCCAGACCGCAGCAGAGCCTGCCAGTCTCTTTTCTCAGCGTAATCCCTCCGCTGCCGGCCGCGAACTAGTTTTAATCACGCCCCACCCCCGCTGGCGTCACCTCCGCCACTCGAGCGCTTTCCAGCAGCTTCCAGAAACGTCGCCTCCCCCAACCCAGCCTTTCACAGATGGCGGGCTCTGCAGCCACCGGCCCCGCCCCCAGTCGTCGTCCGGGCTGCGGCTGCGGCTGCGGCTGCGGCAGCCGGGCGGACGGCCACGCCTCTGCGGAGGTCGGCCGGAGGTGCTCCCGTCCTCGCCTTCCGCCACGCTTACGGACGTAATCCTTTCGGGCCCTGCGTGGACTAGGAAGGGGAACTCTTTTGCGGCGGACTCAAGCCGGAAGTTGCTTTCCTAGCGGGGAGGTCGGTGGGGGAGGAGCAGGGTGAGGTTGAACGTGGGGTGGACGTTGCGCTGTGCGGTGGAACAGGCGTTCGGATCGATCCCGTGCGAAAAAGAGTATCCGCTGCAGGTAAGGAAGGAGGAGTGGTGTTTCTCAGCTCACGAACTAGGGAGAGGGGACAGAACCGGGTTGATCTGTGGAGCCGCGTGAACACTGAAAGGATGGGCTGGCCTGGGGAGGAGGGGCCGGGACCAGGTCAGATGGGAGGAGTTGAGGCTTAAGGTGTAGAGAGAGAAGTATAGGTTCGTTTGGGTGCAGAGAGGTAAATGCTGAAGAGAAACCAGAGTTCTCCCCTTTCCCGAGGAGCGTGGAGGTGGGCAGGGTGTACGGAGCCCTGCGCCTCGCGTTTCCAAGGTTGGGGCTTGAAACTGACCTCTGTGGTCCGGCCCGTCTCTGATTCGCGCCGGCTGGGTTTGGTACCCGACCCCGTTGAGCGCGAAAGCCGACCCCATTCCTCGGCTTCAAGTCTGTTGTGGCCTCACCTTTGACAGTTCACGTGCTGATGAGCCACTTGGTCTAGGGGGCAAGCTCAAATAGGTGTAAGGCTCCTCTTGGGACAGCCTTCTCTGGGTTTTCCCGCTTTCCACGTGGGGCTGCGAGTGACGCCGAATTGCGTCTCTTTCGCTACTCCCAGGACAACGTGACACATTCATTGAGTTGTGACTGAGTATATACTGGGTTAGTAACTCACACTCGGGCTTCTGAAGTATCAGCGGCTCACAGAAGTAGTGAAAAAGGGGGCATCAGAGAAAAATGCTGGGGGGTGAAGAGTAGAGGAGGGTCCGACTGGCAGATCACAATGCAGTGACCTTACTTTATGTCATACAACTACCTTTACGTCACACTGCGCTGTGTGGACTTTCCTATAATCAGGCTGGTGTTAAGAGATGGTTTTAAGCTGGGCAGGGACACACTTAGACTTGTTTTAGAGCAGCATCACTTTGGCAGTAATACGGAGTGCAGAAGGCCTGAAAAGAGGTGGGGATTTGAGATGCTTCCAAAGAACGGTTCACAGAACTTGGTGACTTCTACGGGGTGAAGAAAAGGGAAAAATTAAAGAGTAGAGAACTACTCAGGTTTTCTGGTATATGTGTTTGGAAGGATAGAGATACCAAGATATAGATGAGATACAAGAGAAAGTAGTCGTTATTTTTGAAGGGAAGACAAAGGAAATTGTATTTGGAAAACCTGAATAGCCCACTTGTGGTACTAGTGAATTTTCTTTTGGGGGTTCTGCATATTTAGTATTTCAACCACCAGTCTACCCTCTGTTTTCATTGAAATGATGGTGATGGGATCAGGGGAGCAGATTGAAGGCAATTGAGAGAAAGCCTACAAAAACCAGGGGGAAAAGTTTTCTTGATTCCCTTAAGCAAATGGAAGTTTTCATTAAAAACAATTTACTCAAGCTACATAGATTACCGGTTTTTCTTTTGAGAATGATACAAGATGGGTTGCATATTTTCTACAGAATGAAGTGTAAAATTAGCACCAAATGTATAGCAGTTAAAATTTATTGTGTGTGAGATGCTAAATATTTGACATAGAACAACCAGTTATAAAAAAATTGATGAACCTAGATCTGCAGGTGTAAAACCCATGCCTTTAGCCAATCTGAAAGTTTGACTCTTTCCTATTTAGTTTCCTTTTGTAAGCAAATTATAAATAGAACCAGCCAAAGATAATAAATTGGTCAACACCTATTGAAGCTGTGAGCAGCTTAAAAAGAAAAATTCGGCACCAAATTTGTTTTTATCCTTTTGGCAATGGTTCTTGATAGGACAATTTTACCTCCTAGGAGATTATTTGACAATGCCTGGTGACATGTTTGATTGTCACAACTGAGGGGTGAGTGCCATTGGCATCTAGTAGGTAGAGGTCATAGATGCTGCTAACCATCAGTACGATGCACAGGGCAGACCTCACAACAAACAATGCACTGGTCCAAAATATCTACAGTGCTGTAGTTGAGAAATCCTGCCCTGTGGATATTTCTTTAGGAATAGGAAATTGAGATTCGTTGATAATGACTTTCTAAATAACATTTATATTTTTAAAATTATGCCTTGGCTTTGAAAGTGTGTAAAGTGTATACAGCTGGAACAGAATAGCCTAACTAGTTTTTTTTAATGTTTTTTTAGAGAGAGAGGAAGGGAGAGAGAAAGAGAGAGAAGAAACATCGATGTGAGAGAGAAACACTGATCAGTTGCCTCCTGTACGCACCCTGACCAGGGATCAAACACACAACTCAGGTATGTGCCCTGACTTGGAATTGAACCCAAAAACTTCAGGTACATAGGACCACACTCCATCCAACTGAGCCGCCTACCCAGTAAGGGCGGGTGACTGGTTTTTCAACAGAACCTATAGAATTGCAGTTTCCCAGGAAGTGGTTGTTATGGAATCATGGATTCTTAGATTTGGGAGAGACTTTTGCTTGAAATTATTTTACAACATTCTTGCTAAGTAGTGATTTATTCTGCTTATAAGTCTCCTTTGTCTGGTGTCCCTGTATTTTAAATCCATGTCTACTCTACTTTTAACAATCACTTTTCTTACACTGAGCTCCAGTCTCATAATTTTGACTTTTCCTGAATGTGATTCTAGGCCATGGGACTTAACACTCAGAGCAGGCTGGTTATATGTGTAATTTGTACTGGGATAGTGTTAATATTTTTTTTGCTAGTACAGATCATTTACTTTATTATGAAATAATATTTTGTTGGCAGCTTTTAAAAAGTAGCATTATTCTCAGTTGGTGAAAAGTTCTTGGTGGTTGAAAGTACTAGGAATGTATGGGGTTGTTTGGTCAATATCACAATGGATCTAAAGTTTGTTTTTTTGTTTGTCTGTTTTAATTGATTTTAGAGAGAGGAAATAGAGAGAAACAGAGAGAGAGAGAAACAGCGCTGTGAGAGAGAAACAAACATCAGGCGGCTGCCTCTTGCACCTACCCCATCCAGGGACGGAACCCACAACCTAGGTATGTGCCCTGATCGGGAATCGAACCCACAACCTTTCTGTGTATGGGATGATGCTCCAACCAACTGAGCCACACTGGCCAGTGTGGATCTGTGGTTTTTAAAGTACTTTCTTAATGTAATGCTGACATATTTGTTTCAAATTGTGCGTAGACTCTAAAAACTTAGGCTTTCAAACTCTGGTCAATAAAAATTGGCTTTACATAATAGTTACCTCTGTAAATTGGCTTTACATAATAGTTACCTTTGTTACAAGTTTTGATAAACTTGCTTACAAATGAATCTATGAAAGCCTGTCTTCGCACTTTCCCCACAAATTTTCTAGATTTATAAATAAAGTATTTTTAAAATTCTAGATTACAGTTTCAGAATATGTTTATACTAGGACATATAGTTCCCAAAATATACTTAATATATGTACATCTTGTAAAATAGCATAGCTCTATTTCAAATTAAATAGGATTTTTGTTTAATTGTCTATTGACTTTTATTTTTCAGGGTTCATTGAAAAATCCTTAGTGCTATTGACATGTTTCAAGTGACATAAATTAGCCAATGATTCGGAATGATGGATTCCCTGAAGACTGGAAATGGTTTGCCAATGATTGGACCAGGGACTGATTTAGGGGTATCTTCACTCCACATGGTGGGGTATTTGGGAAAAGTTGGTGAACTTATTTTTTGCCTCAGCACAAAGTTGGCTTTTTTTCCTCCTATTTTTGAGACTTGAATTCGGTTTTAATTTTACCAGTTAACTTTTTAAAAAATTGTATCATCTTCCACGGAAATCTTACAGTATTGGCGAAAGATTGTTTTAATTATTTACCTCTCTGTGTTTTATTAATATGTGAAAGCAGAAATAAAACATAGATCTTATGGTTTACTGTTCTTTGAAAATATAGATCATGCATTTTCCCTGGCAATTAACATAACTTTTTTTCTTGCAAATAAAACTGATGTTATTTTTAACACTTAAAATTTAATATTTAAAACTACAATTATTTTATTTTATTTTATTTTATTTGGATTACTAGCTGTAGTTAAGGCCTGTATGCATTTTTTATTTGCCATGTTGAAAATATCTTGCCAAGATACTTGTAGGTGAAAGTTGTAATTCTTTTCTGGTTGCTTTTCCATTTAACATTTTGTAATTTGGTATACTCTAGGAATGTCTATATTTTAATTTACTTTATTTCTCTTTTAGAATTATGATTCTGCTAACATCCTGTCAGATGGGTATTGCCCTGCTTGTAGAGAGAAGGGAAAGTTAAAAACATTAAAGACTTACCGAATTAGTTTTCAAGAATCTATCTATTTGTGTGAGGATCTACAGGTAAAGTATTAATTTTAGATAGTATTGAGGTTTTGGCCTTTTGCTTTTTTCCTTCAGTGTTTAAATTTGTACTCTGTATTTTTTCAACTCTACATTTTTAACACTTAGATAATCAGAGTTTCTAGATCTGTCTGGTATACTCTTAAATATTTTTTATTTTTTCATCTGGTTTCCTGAGTTATTGCAAGAAGATGTTTATTTTTATTGTCATTAGACTTGTGAGAGGAAAAAATACATGGCGAGGGGCCCTTGTTAGCTGTTGGAATGTAATCGTTAATTTCTCTTCTCTTTGGTTTATTAACTTTGGGACTTGTTGGAAACGTTACATATCTCTACATGCTATGTACTTAAATGTCTTTTAGGATTAATTACAGTAATTTGTATCTGTGGTACAAACTCGAGCTCATTAAACTCCATAATATTCTACGTTTTATTGTACTTGACAGTTATAAAACTGTTATATACACATTTAATTCTCAAAACTTTGTAAGGTAGGTGTTGCCATTTTGTGAATAAGAAAACAGATACAGCCAGGTTAGGAACTCAAGAATCTCTCCATAAAGCGGCAGAGCTGTGATTGGAACAGAGTCATCTAATTTCAGATACTTTTATTCCAGGTAAACTAGCAGTTCATCAGAGTCACCTGGAGTGCTTTTTAAAAATTCCAGCGTCTCACTCTCTAATGCTGATAAAGTAGAATTACTTAGACTGAGAATTCTGTAGTTTTGTAACTTTTGAGGGTGAGTCTAATCAACTTTGGAAAAGACGAGACTAAATCACGCTGTTGGTGATAGATACTTTGCTGGTTACAACTTGAGGAAAATCCCAGGCATTCTTAAAATTAGGGATAAATTATTTTTTCATTTATTTGCTAAAATATTTTTTTTGCACATCACCATGTTGGCACTGTTTCATATGCTACGATACAACGAGTAAAACAAAATTTTCTTGCTCTCAAGAAGGTTGTGTTCTAGAGTGGGGAAGAAAATAAACAAGTAAAGTATATGTTTTTGTGTGAAGTGATGAAAAGTGCTGTGGAGAAGCTCCAGCCAGGTGGTTCAGTTGGTTGGAGTGTCATTCTGTACACCAAAAAGATTGCAGGTTCGATTCCCAGTCAGGGTACATACCTAGGTTGTGAGAGTTTGATCCCTGGTTGGGGTGTGTACAGAAGGCAACTGATCAGTGTTTCTTTCTTACATCGATGTTTCCTCCCTCTCTCTCTCTCTCTCTCTCCCTTTTTAAAATCAGTAAATAAACATATCCTCAGATGAGTAAAATTTTTTTGAAAAAGAAGAAAAGTTCTGTGGAGAAAAATAATGACACAGGGACTGAATTTGAGGAAATGGGGAGCTTGCAATTTAAAATAGTCTGGTGAAGGGAACTCTTCATTGAAAAAGTAGCATTTGAGCAGAGACCTGAAGGAGATGAGAGGAATGAGCCCCCCAGCCAGGGAGAGTCACAGGTATAAGGCCCCGAGAGTAGAAGCTGCCTGTCCGTGTTTGTACCACAGCAAGGAGCTGGAGCAGAGCAGAGTCATAGAAGATGGGTCAGAAAAGTAATGGGAGGGGGGCTGGACCAAGTAAGGACTTTATAGGCCATTTTAAGGTTTCTGGATGACATAATCTGACTTACATGTTAGAGCACAGTGGCTGCTGTGTTGAAAACAATAGGTCATGGGCAAGACCTGAAGCAGGGAGACTAGTTGGAAGGCAGTTGCAGTATTCTAGGAGGAGTAAGGATGACCAAGGTGATGAGGCATGGTTGGATTCTGTATATGTTTTAAAAGTGAAGCCAAAGGAATTGCTGAAAGGTTGGGATACGTGGTAGGAGAGGGAGAAATCATGGTTGATTCCAGAATTTTGGCTTGAATGGTTGGAAGAATGGAGTTGCCAATTACTGAGATGAGAAGGCTTTGGGAAGAGGAAGATGCGGGGAAAGACCAGGAGGTCAGGACCAATCATCCTGAAACATGTAATATCTGTGGGTATGTGGAGCAAACAGTTGGATTTGTGTCAGGCATTAGGTGAAGAGTTTGGGGTTAGAGATACACATGTGAGAGCCATCAACATACAGATGATTGAACCATGAGACTGCGGGGGCAGAGGGAGCTTTTACCTAGGAGTATTGATAAAAAAAAAACAATAAACCGTAAAGGACCCTAGTTTATTGTTCTTTTTATTAAGTAAGGGTGTTGACTCTGCTTGAAATTGGTAAAGATATTTTGCCTCTTTTAATTTTCAATTGTCATAAAAACATAATAAAATTTATCATCTTAACCATTTTTAAGTGTACAGTTCAGTAGTGTTAGCTATATTCATGTTGTCATACAACAGATCTCCAGAACTTTTTCATCTTGGGCCACTGAAATGCTGTCTCCATTAAACAACAGCCCCCCATTTGCTTTCTCCCAGCCAACCACCATTCTACTTTCGGTCTCTGTGGATTTGATTACTCTAGGTACCTCGTATAGGTCAAATCATACAGTACTATAAATCCTTGATTTTGGGGACCTCCATTGAACAGACTTTGGATTTAATGGACAAAGTTTCCAGTTGGTGTGTCATATGTGAAAATACCCTGTTAATTTTAAAATGCTTTTAACCAAGATTTGCTTATTATTGAATGAACGGGTTTTTGTCGTTGCTATTAATTCACTGTTATTTTTAACAAATTTTAGTGAATAGGTCATATGTTGGAAAAACACTGAAGTGATTTCGTCTCCATAAATAAATATTATATATCTACAACTATAATTTACATATTTAAACCCAACATAAACAGTGTCCTGGAATGATTAGCACGTAATCACACTGAGTCAAGAGCCCTCGGTGATTGGTTCTGTTGTGATGTGGCAAGACTTTCTGCAACTTTTTTTTTGTCCTTGGCCCCTTTTCCTTGTCTTTGGGTAGCAGGTCTTTCTCACTTGGTATGCTTAAGGGAAAAGACCTGGCTAGGCCACCCTGGAGCCAACTTTTCATTTGTAAAATAAGTGCCCTGAGTCAAGCATCTCAAAGCCCCTTTCAGTTCTGAAAGATGCATGGCTCCTCAAGCAGCACCTTCAAAGATGATCCTGTTTGTTCAGTGTACAGTCCCCAAACTACCTTCTTTATTAACTTCAGTTTTTATTCGTACTTCTACAAGTGACAGCCATCTAACAACAAAAAGCCACAACTAAAATAACATTTTTGCAGAAGATCATTCACTTCCATTTTATTGGAACCATTTGTTTACTCTATGGGAAAAAATAGGGAGTATTTCACACTAAATAATTACGTTTTGAATGATAAACATTTACTGTGATGATCACTGGAAAGCAGTCCTAATTATTAGCTAACCTCTTTAGCTAGCTAATAGCTAATATAAGCTCCCATTAACTGGCCAAGTGGCCTAGAATAAACCAGTGTCCTTATTCGTAAAGTGGAAATTGGGCCACTGACCCAGCTCTTGAAAAGCACTTGTAATCGCGCCAAGTCTTAAAGGGCAAATGACCACCTGGGACCATCTGAGACTTTGGGGGATGAACTTACTCTTTGGGGCTATTAGGGGAACCATTTAGAACTGTAGCAGTGATTTACTGATGTTGCCCCAATGGCCCCAAAGATTTAATGCACTTTCTATATATCTCCTGCTTTCTCTGTGTAAATCTAATCTATCAGATGGTGCCTTTGACAAGTCAGTTTGCTTGACACAGGTGGGCCTTTTATTCCTAGACAGTGCTTGCCTCTTTGCTCATAAAAGAGCCAGAGCCAAACCCCAACTCTGCAGTAGTTGATGGTCCCATGTGTGCTAGCCACACCCCAGTTGTGTGCATTTGTTTACTCGAGGTGACTGTTGAGTGCATGAATTCATTAGACCTCCTCAGTATAAATCGAACATTACAATAATACACATAGAAAACTTTTCTGTGAAATTAAAGTTTTCATACATACTTAATTTTAATTACAAACGAGTCTACATAAGTAAAAACCAGTAAACTAATTTGTCAGTCTTTTAATATAACGCATTTGGAAAACTTACTTTATTATATAACAGACTTTGGGCTTTAAAGGACACCCTCACCTGAATTAGTCTGTTACATCAAGGTTTTACTGTATTTGTCTTTTTTTTGTGTGATGGACTTATTTCACTTAATATAATGTCCTCAAGGTTTATCCATGTTGCGTCATATAACAGGATTTTCTTTTTAAAGACAGAATAATATTTCATTTTGTGCATAAACCACATTATCTGTTTGTCTATGGACATTTGGGTGGCTTCCACCTCTTAACTATAGTGAACAATGCTGCGGTGAATATGGGTGTGCAAATAATCTCTTTGAAGTTCTACTTTGAATTTTGGGGGGGTATATACTTTTTTATGACTCTGAATACAGAATTATTGCTATTGATTTTAAAGTGTTTTCTGTTTATTGACATGTGGTAGGATTTGGGAAATTGAGGTGTACAATTGAGGATCAAGTTGCTATTTGATCGTGACTGAACAACGAGTTACTAACCGAAGGATCCCAAACTTGTCCTGTTAAAGAATTTCATAATAAGTGCAGTATTAATGAGTACCATGTTTACTTATATTGAAGAAGCTGTATTTTGAATGAAGATGTAGTGCATTTTGGTTATTTGTTGCTGTGAAATTAACCACCTCAAAACTTAGTGACTAAAATAACTTAATGGTTTCACTTATTTATTCCTCATGATTCTGTAGGTTGGCCAGGCAGTCCTTACACTTCAGATGCTGTTGGCTGGGACGACTGAAATGTCTGCATGGCTGACAGTTGGTGCTAGCTGCCATCTGGAAACTCAGCTCAGGCAGTTAGCCATGGTCTCAGTTCTTTTCCACAAGGGTCTCCCTGGGAGGCTTATTGGGCTCCTCACAGTATGGTGGCTGGGACTGAGAAGGAGTATTCCAGAAGGAGGGCTCCAAGAGGACAAGCCCAATGAGCCAGTGCTTATCAAGCCCCCATGTGCATCATGCTTGCTAATAATGTCCCATCAAAGCTAGTTACAAGGCCCGGCCCAGAGTTGTGTGGCAGGGGCTGATTCTTCCAGGTATGAATACCAGGAAGTGTGGTTCTAATTCACTAGAGGCCACCGAGGTAGCAGTCTGTCGTACTTGTGTAAAAGATGGCACATTTTATTTATTTACATTACAATCTACATTCAATGTTCTGTATTAGTTTCAGATGTACAGTATAGTGTGGTTAAACAATCTCGTGCTTTACAGAGTGTGGTCCCCCTGTTGTTTCAAATACCCACCTGGCACCATGCATAGTTATTATGATATTATTGACTATATTTCCTATGCTGTAATTTACATCTCAGTGACTATCTGTAACTATCAGTTTGTACTTCTCAATCCCTTCACCTTTTCACCTAACTCAGCTCCCCTCTGTCAACCGTCAGACTGTTGAAGGTAGCATGTTTTAAATGAAAGCACATAGAATATATATTTCTTGAATTTGTCTTGTAAAATATTTTTCTGTTTTTTAAACTTAGGGAAAATTTATTGATTTTTTTTTTTTGGTAGTGATTTGATGAGGTCATTAAAATTCAACCAATTTGACCCTTAAACCTGATAAGGATGTAAAGTTGATGTTCTGATTACTCAGGTTAATATTCAGTTTCAAAATTAAGAAACATAAATGCCACTTTTTATTTGAAGATACTTTTCTAATTTTTAGTGTTTGTTACACAGTGTACCTCTCCCAAAAAGAATAACAGTCATCATAAAATGTTTCTTTACACTATTGAAATTATTTTAATTCATTTGACATTAGCTTTTTATTTAGACAAAAATATGTATGTTTTCCTTGTTAGCTTAACCTCGTGTAGTTCAGAATAAAGCCTTGATTAAATTAACTAGGAAAAAATATTTTTGGGGGATCGAATTTTTAATTAAATAGTTGTTTATCCTTCCTTCAAATTTAGATTTATAATATACCCTCTCATATCAAATTAATGCTAAAATTTTATACATAGTTTTTATTACTTGGAAATAGTAAAGTAAAATTTGAGCTTGTTTGAGTTTTTGTAGTTTTTATCACTTTATTTTTTCTTCCTAGTGCATCTATCCTTTGGGCTCTAAGTCACTTAATAACTTAATTTCTCCTGATTTGGAAGATCATCACGCTCCAAATAAGCCTCAAAAAAGAAAGCTCTTGGAAACCAACTATAAAGATTCGCCTTCTTTAGCAAGTTCCAAAAAGATTAAAAGTCATGTTGATGGTGAACAAGTTTTGAACAGCAAACACCATGGAGAAGCATACAAAGAAACCTCATCAGACTTGCCTGACTCACTGCACAGTGGTCAGCAGAGTTCAGTTAGGACCACTGATTTCTTGGGACAGGATGAGATTCTGGAAGCTGCTGTTACTGGCATGGCTGCTGAAGGTGCCACTGCAGTCGATGTTTCTGGAACTGGAGAGATTGCTCCTCAAAGTGAAGGAGGCATGTCTGAATTGGAAATATCACTGGAGAGTAGATGTATACCATTTTGCCAGACTTCATGTGTTCAGTGGAAAAATTCTCATGCCCTCTGTTGGTTAGACTGTATCCTGTCAGTGTTGGTGCACCTGGAAGTGGTAAACAAGGCGGTGATGACTGATCTGGGCCCTAAAGAGGAATCTGTGTTCTGGCAGTTGTTCACAAAGTATAATGAGGCCAACAAGCTTCTGCACACCAGTCATTTGGATGCAGTTAAAGGTTGGTAATAATATTTTATTTCCCTTTAATTTGTAGAGGTTAAAATTGAGTTTTGTCTCACTGTGTGGAAAAGATGCCATTAGTAGTCTCTGTTTTACTGGAGCCCAGGAAGTGTCATGAAGTTTGAGATAACACCAGTTATCCTGACTGCGGAAAAAGATGTCTTTTTATTTTTAATCCTCAGCTGAGGATATTTTTTTTTTGTCTATCTTCAAACAGAGTGGGAGGGAGAGGGGGAGAGAGAGAAACAGTGTGAGAGGGACATATCGGTTGGTTGCTTCCCGCACAACCCTGACCAGGGCCGGGGATGAGCCGCAACTGAGGTACATGCCCTTGACCAGAATCGAACCCGAGACTCTTTGGTCCGTGGGCTGATGCTCTAACTGCTGAGCCAAATCAGCCAGGACTAAAGATGTCTTTTTAAAAAACTGAGTAAGGATAAAAGAGGCTTTGGTGTAATGTTAATTAGCTGTCAAGGTAATGGTGGTCATCATAGAGCCCATCAAAGTAAAATTTTAAATTTTTAAATTGCCACAAAGCAGAATAAAGAAGTAAATACAAATCACCCACAATTCTGCAATTCCCCCCATATTCTCTCTTCACAGTAAGGGATATATATATATTGTTTTAGTTTCTATAAAATAGGATAGCCCTGAAACCACCTGCCGACCTAAGAAGAATTAAAATAGTCCCAGTAACTTACATCTACTATTTGTTCCTCCCCATCTCGCCTCCATCTCCCCCAAAGGTAATTGTCATCCTGAAATGTTTTATTCCTTAATAGCTTTTGCTACACATATATATCTAAATAATATATTGTCTAGTTTGTTTTCAACTTTATACCAAGGATATACAATATGTCTTCTGGGACCTTTTTTCTTAAAGATTTATCCATGAAACTGCTTATATTTATGCTCTGTTGATTTTCATTGTGGTAGAATATTCCCATATTGTAAATATATCAACATATTTATTTATCTGTCATTAATTTGTTCTTTGCTAGTATAAATACTGCTGCTTGTCATCCCCTGCAGTGAAAGGTCACGGGTTTGATTTCCCAGTCAGGGCACATGCCCAGTTTGCAGGTTTGGTCCCTGGTTGGGGCACATATGAGAAGCAACCAATTGATGTTTTTTTTTCTCTCTCTCTCCGTACCCCTTCCTCTCTAAAAAAATCAATAAACATATCCTCAGGTGAGGATTAAAAAAAAAATACTGCTGCTACGACATCTCGTGCAAGTGTCCTGGAATACATGTAGCATTGCCCTTGGATATGCTTAGGAATGGAATTGCCCAATCATGGGCCCTAAGTTCAGTTTACAATATAATGGCAATTGTTTTCCAAAGTGTTTGTACCAATCAATTTTCCCATTAGTAGTATATGAGAGAGATCTTCCTGATCCATATATTCTTCCTTGGTTATTTTTACACTTGGAGATTTTGCTATTTGAAAGATGTAAAATAGTTTGTGGCCTTGGTTTGCCTTTCCTATATTTTAAAGAAGTTGAATACTCTTCATGTATATGCTTCCTCGTGTGCTATGAAATGCCCCTTTGTGTGTTATCTCCATTTGTTCTGTTGTCATGTTCTTATTGGTTGGTATGAGTTGTTATATGTTCTTTTTGCTATTTTTATGACAGTGTGTGTTGCAAAATCTCCCAACTTTTATCTTGTACATTTACTTTTTTAAAGATATCTTTGATGACAGAAATAGTTTTTTCCTTGTGTAGCTAGTAATGTGGCTTTTTAAATAAATCTTTCCTTTCCCCCAAATTAGAAAGTTATTCTCCTATACTTTCACAGAAAACTTACAAAGTTTTGCTTTTGACAATGAAGTGAGTTCTGCTGGAGTAAATTTTTGTGTTTGGTGTGTGAATAGGACACATTTCCCCCCCATTACAGAGGCAGCTTTTCTAGTTCTACTTTTTGTCTCAGTTGACCTGCCATGGAACATTCCATGTGTGTGCATCAGTTCTTAACTCAGTTTTGTTCTCTTGGTCACTTTATCTGTCCCTGAACCAGTACCACACTATTTCAGTTATCAGGGCTTTTTAGGTCTTGCTTTCTGGTAGTATAAGAATCCTCACGTTTATTAACTTGACTTTGGCCGTGTAGTCTTTTATATAAATCTTATCCACTGTTTCCACATTGGTGACCATTCAAGCTGCTTACCATTTTTTGCTGTGAGGAATAAACACCATGACAAGTATCTGTGTATCCTTTGAATCCATTACTGAGTATATCCTAAAGGGATATTAAAATATGAATATAAAGAGTCTTTCTGAATGGCTTACCAGAAGGCTTACACCAACATGCAATTTTATTTGCATATGTAGAACACTCAGAGCACTGTAATCACTTCTGGATATAAACATTTAAAAGTTCTAATTTTGTTAGGTAAGAAATATTTTTTTTTAACTTTCTTTGAGATTATTTTTATTGCAATTTTTAAGATTCAATTTTCACAAGCATTTTTGCTTTTGTCTTTTCTCTATTTATGTTTTCTATTATAGGAACTCAGTACTGAGTTGGTGACCATTGTTTAACTGATAGTTGCAGAAGAGCATACCTCTTGTTCAAATTTTGACTTAAATATTATATTAATTTTATTTTTATATTTTAATCTTGCATTAATTTTTTTATAGAAGAATTGTAGTTTTTATAATATGGTTGTAATTAATTTGTTTGAGCTGCATTACTTTGAATTGTGTTTGAGGAAATACATGGTATATCACAGAGAGGGGAGGAAGAATTAAGAAAATTTTGTGTTTTGTATTTTGTCTCCACAAAATTTATTGTCTGAAACTCTTTTATTCTTGGCAGTGTCTTAATTTTTTTTGTAAAGATATAGATTGATGAGAAATTTATAACATCTGTACTTTAATTTTAGATAAAGATGATAAACTTGCTTCAGAAATATTTGCCAAGATAGAGACCTGTCTGAATGAAGTCAGAAATAATATTTTTATCAGGCTTCAGCCTCAGCTTAGATGCACATTAGGTAAGTAATTTGTTTAAGTTAACTGTATAACTTATCTGCCTTAAAGAAATGCTTACATTGTAAGGAAGTATAATACTGTTTTATTACTTTGGATAGTCCAGATTCTTGAGGGAGAGTCTGGGTGGTTTCATTTAGGAACTGACTACCGGTTCAGTCATTGGTGGGCAGAGCTGGTCTATGTAAACATTTAGGCTGTATTCCACCACCGGAGTGGATTCTGGTCTCAGAAACTGGTGAAGACTCAAGGAGACCCCGGTTGCCTTTTCAGTACTTTCCCCCAGTAGACTAGTTCAGCATTTTCAGCATTATCTTTGCACTCAAAAGCACATAAGGAATTTAAAAGTAAACAACAGTGTTAGGGGCCAATTAAATAAGAATCTCAGGATGGAGCTCAGGTATCAGGAATTTTAGAATTCTCATGTGACTCTTACAGGTAGACAAGGTTGATCTCTGGTCTAAACCGACTGGAGTAATTCTGCTTCGCCTGCCAGTGATTGGTTTAGAAGTGGACATATGGTACAGTTTTTGCCACTGGGAGATGAGGAGAAATGTGCTGATGACTTTTTGGGGACACTCTTACCTTTAAAATAGGACACAAGAATGAGACCTGCTTTGTCTTCTCTTGGCTTTTGGCCTCTGGGAGCAGTGTGGAGCAAGGGCACCACATCTCTGGGTCTTTCTGAATGTTTTCAGTGTTGCAAAAAGGAGCTGTAATGATTTGTTTTTTTGTTTGAGGGGGATGTTTGTCTTATCTCTATTTATCCTTGTACTAACTCTTGTATTAATAAGGTATTGTGGAAGCAGAATATATGGTACCCCTATTAATATATTACCCATTATTAAGTTATGCAAAATATCAATGCCTTCAAGTTTTTCCTCTCAACAAGTGCATTTATTTTATCAGAACCAGATGTCGTATCTGAAGCAGTGCTTTTTTTTTTTTTTTTTTGCATGGTAGTATCTCCTACTTCATCGTTTCACAGTTTTGTCCCCTAGTTTTACTATCTTGTTTTTCATGAATTCCTACAGATACAAATTTACTGTGTTATAATAATAAACTGATTTGTATATGCCAGCCTTTGGCTTTGCCTCCTAGATCTAAAGGACTGTTGTAATTTATCATTAGGCAGGATCTCAGATGGGATGAATATCCTTTTTTCTTTTTATCAAAGTGTAATTAGCATATAGTAAAACCATTTTTAGATGTATACAATTTTGTAACCATTACCATAATCAAGATACAGAATGTTTTATCACCTGGAAAATTTCTCCCAGGCTTCTAAGTAGTCAGTCCCCTTCCCCAGCCACTGATCTGTTGGGTAAACACTCATTTCCAAGAGTCTTTTCCTAAGATCACCAGAGTGGAGACTTCAGGGGCTCCTATGTTGCATTTTGCAAGTATCACTTCCCTCCTAGCATGACCCGAGGATGTTGTATTCAGGGTCCAGATTCTAGGTTCCAGTTGAATTAAAGAGTGGCTTCTCCCCCAGTCTGAATCATCACCCTTATCTCTGATAATTGTGTTCAGAACAAGATTGAATCTTGCTCACTGCCACCTTGGGCCTGATTTTCTTTGTAACAGAGAAGAGATTTTATAATGATTATTTGTGCAATCATAGCAATTAGGTGAGCACTCAACTCTCCTAATACAATAGAACAAACCCCTCTCGTTTGTGTTCTTACTACTCATTCAGCAGTGCTAGATGCTATATTAGAGATTAAGATCTTACTAATGAAATCTAATCTTTGCTTCAGAGGGCACTATAAAATCTTTTTTTTTTAATATATATTTTTATTGATTTTGTAGAGAGAGAGGAAGGGAAAGAGAGATAGAAACATCAATGTGAGAGATACATCGATTGGCTGCCCCCTGTACAACCCCTGCTGGGGATCAGCCCACAACCTGGGCATGTTCCCTGACCAGTAATTGAATCGAGACCTCTCAGTCCATGAGATGATGCTCAATCCACTGAGCCACACTGTCCAGGCCAGCACTATAAAATCTTACCATGAGCGTGTTCTCGTTCTGAATATTAACATGTATTTTAAAGTACCAAAGAAAGAGAAGTAGAATCTGTACTGACCCTGAATTTTGCTTACATTTTTAAGTTCAGCCACTTTTTCATTTTTGAAAAACACATTGTATAAACTCTGCCCGCCACCCCCACCCAAGTTTAAGAAATACAACATTACAAATACAACTCAGGCCCCCTTGTGCTCTTCCCCAATTATTCCTTACCTCCCCACAAAAGTAACTGCTATCAGTTTAAGTTTTCTTTCCCTCTAACATCTATATCCTTTTTTTTTTTAAGAAAAAGCTAGTATTATGGTTTTACTTATTTTTGTGTAAATTGAAAGGGTAATTTAATCTGAGGGTTGTGTACCAGCATAAGGATAAACAGAGCAGTAGAACAGGATAGCCCAGATCAGGACTCTCCCCTTTTGATTATTTTGTACTGTGACAGAGGCAGTGATGCAGATACTTAGGAAAGAAGAGACATCGTTGGTTCCTGACATGCGAAAGATTGGATCCTTATGTGACACCATAACCAGAAAGAAACTTCAGCACATTTAAAGACCTAAACAGGAAAAGCAGAGTTGTAAAACTTAGGAAGAAAATATAGGCGAATATGTTACCATTCATTTGGGAAGAATTTCTTTAGATAAGATACATAAAATATTGTCAGGTATGTTTACATTAAAGTTTAAATCCTCTGGGAAAAGATAGAGCCAAGAAGCAATATCCAGCATATCTTATAAAGAACTCTTAAACATCAGTTAAAAAAGACAAGCTGATAGAAAGTAATCAGAAGACATTAATGAACAATTAACAGAAGAGAACACTTAAATGGTTAGCAGAGTCACTGAAAGGTTTGCATTATGGCAGATGTAGGTAGTTGGGTAGGAGTGGGGGTTAGGCAAAGAAACCACTTAACTAATTTAGGCAGGAAGTTATAAAAATCAGAATTAGTCACTGGTATTATGTGTTCTCCAGAAGGTTGCTTTATGTTTTATTCCCATAAAATGTATAATCAAATGAGAAATAATTTAGATCAATTTAGGAGCTATATAAATTCCCTAAAATGATCTGGAATCACACAACTTATTCAAGTGTATTTTGAGCTCTTTCATATTTTAACTCATTGAGAATTTTGTATATTTTTAGATCTGAAGAGTCTATGTTGTCATTATGAAATATAAATTATTTACTTTTTCAGTTAATATTTAGTTACAATAGAGTAAGCATTTAAAGGCTGAGAACTAATTACAGACTCATGCTATACTACACTGTTTTATACGTGTGGTGTTGCATATGTTCATTTTTAAGAGATTGATTTATACCTTATTTCTATTTATAAAAATATTTTGTTTTGACTTTATGTTTTTGTACAAAAATAGCAACGGGACTATATACCACAAAGGTGACTAGTTTATAGCCTTTATAACTACTGATACTTATAGAGTATGTTTAGGCAATAACAGCTCCTACTGTTCTGCCTTTTGGTCCCGCTAAGGTGACTCCTCTAGGTGGTGTTCCTGGCAACTCTGGTTCCAGGATGGGAGGAGAACTGAACCATGGATGTAAGACTGTCCCAGGGGAGGGGAGGTGATGGAAGGACTCAGATTTTTTTCTGGCATCTAAGCTCCCCTGAGGACAGGAAGGAGAGAAACCCCTTGGAGAAGGAACGTAAGGGGAGAACGTAAAACCTGTTTAACTTGCTTGCTGATCTCCACACTGGAAAACAGTATTCATGGCTCAGTTTTGTTTTAATGACAACAAAATTCAGATCTTTGCTAATCTTAAACTTGTTGAAGTTTAATTTTAATTGTTAAAAGATTAAGAAGAGTGGAGATTTGAGGCTGGTCCTTTCACTTGCATCTGTCATGCTCTCCACCACATGGAGAACAGGAGTCAGAATAGAAATAGCTTCTTAATACTTTGGTCCAACTCCGACATTCTGCCATGTTTCACCAGTTATATTATTTTTAATGTCTGAAGAAAACCATTTATATATATTTATTTGTTTTTATAATACTCGAGTTGTTACAGTTCTGATGATTTTTTTTTTCCTGAGTAAAACTAAAAAGATCTGAGAAGATGTGCAGGTCTTTTTTGTCTTTTGTCTTGAGTTTTCATATACGTGTCCACTGAAAAAAATGAAAGATAGAGACTGAGCCCTGGCTAGTTAGAGCGTCAGCCCACAGACTAAAGGGTCGTGGGTTTGGTTCCAGACAAGGGTACATACCTGGGTTGCAGGTTCAAGTCCTGACCCCGGTTGAGGTCTAATGGGAGGCAGCCAGTCGATGTGTCTCTCTCACATTGATGTTTCTCTCCCCTGTCTCTTTCCCTCTCCCTCCCTTCCTCCTTCCCCTCTCTAAAAGTCAATGGAAAAATAACCTTGGGTAAGGATTAACCAAAAAAAAGGGGGGGGGGCGGGGGTGTCGAGACTGAAATGATAATTAAATCTTTATAATAGACTCTTTTTTTTTTTTTAGAAAAACGCTTTAAAAACCTTCCCTTGGCCCTGGCCGTTTTGGCTCAGCGGTTAGAGCGTCGGCCTGAGGTCCTGAGAGACCCGGGTTCGGTTCCCGCTAAGGGCGCGTACCTTGGTTGCAGTTTGTCCCCGGCCCTGGTTGGTCGTGCGGGTGGCAGCCACTCGATGTGTCCCTTTCACATCGATGTTTCTCTCTCTCTGTTCCTCTCTCTCCCTCCCACTCTATCTGAACAAAAAATGGAAAAATGTCCTCGGGTGAGGATAAAAAAAAATAATAATAATAATAAAAACCTTCCCTTGCCCAACTGTGAATAACCTACTCTGTCATATATTCATATTTATATGTATTCATACTGTGAGTATAGTGAGAAAAAACAACAGGTTCATAATTGGGTTTGACCGTTTTCAGTTCATTATGAGCAATCGTTTTTCCTTTTCTTTTAAAGGTGACATGGAAAGCCCCGTGTTTGCATTTCCCCTGCTCCTAAAAATAGAAGCCCGAATTGAAAAGCTCTTCATGTACTCTTATTCTTGGAACTTTGAATGTTCACAGTGTGGACACAAGTATCAAGACAGGTTGGTTTTTCTGTTTTTTAAAAGGGATTCATTCTATTGAAAATAGTTCCGAGTAATCAGATTTGAAGAAAGCTTGTTTCCTTTTATAACACTGCTCTTTCAATGACTCCTACCCTTGATAAAACGTTCCACCCTGTCTTGAAGTCTCTCCACTGTTAATGGTTAAAAGGAAGAATTTGAGCCCTAGAACTGCAGTTTGCGTGCTTATTTAAACTGGAAGAAAACCCATGGTTTGATAGACTACCACTGGGAGTTATCTTCAGGTTTTCAGTGGTAAGTGGGACAAATGGAAAAAGTAGAACCTTCCCTTCCACTCCCCTGTGGATTCTCTGCAGAGAATAATACCTCTCAGAACTCCTGGAAACTGTGTGTTTTGTTTACTCTTCTATTAGAGACCAGGGTTTTTGTTTATGTTTTTAACATCATGGAAACTGATTTTGGTCTCCCAGAGTTTGGTAGCAGCTCTGAGAGGTAACCTGCACTTCCTTGTTCCCAACCTTAGTCCCTGAAAGACCAGCTGTGCCCAGAATCCTGCAGAGCGCTGTGCTTTCTGCCCCTCCTGTTGGAGGAGGCACGGTTGGTGTGCATGGCCCTGAGATTGGTGCTTAGGAGGAAACTGGAGAAGAAACAAACTGCAGGTTTCTGTTGCTTCCACACACCTACCAACATGATGAGAGAGATGAGGTTTTAGAAGAGATTACAGAGAGAAGGTTTCCATCAGACAGGATACCCTCACCTTATCAATATATGAGAAAGTTACTAGCTGTGGGGTTGAAAAGATTACCGCCCTGGCTAGTTTGCCTCAGCAGGTAGAGCACCAGCCCGTGGACCAGAGAGGCCTGGGTTCGGTTCTTATTAAGGGCATGTACCTCAGTTGCAGTTTGTCCCCAGCTTCAGTTATTCAGTTGGGGTCGTGTGGGTGGCAGCCACTCGATATGTCTCTCTCACATCTCTCTCTCTCTTTCTCTCTCTCTCCCTCCTGCTCTATCTGAAGATAAATGCAAATGCAAAAAGTGTCCTCAGGTGAGGATAAAAAAAAGAAAGAAAGAAAAGTTTGCCAAACTGGTTCTATTAGTCATTTATTCAAATTTTTATAGTAAGATAAATTCTCTTCTCATTTCTTAAACTCACCTACTAGTAAATTAGAAAATTTGGAGTCTTTCAAAGTTAATTTATTAAGTGTGAGAAAAAAATGTTACTTAGATATTTATTTATCTAAATTGCGGTTATTTTTAGGTATTTCAGGATTAGTGGAGGTCAGGTCTATGAAAGAATTCCCTAGGGGATGTAAGCAACAGAACCAGAAAACATTTTTTTACCAGCTCAAAAGTACTAGAACAGAATAAGAATTAGCATTTCATTCATACCCAGAATTTACATAATTTTGTGTATGAGAGAAAATATCTATTTCCTGATCTTCTGTCATTGATTTATATTATTATCTGGTTTTCTTCCCACTTGACAAATGTGGAAACTGAAGCCTGAAAGAGCATGAGTTAATAAGCGGCAGAATTCAGGCCTAGGTTTTTCTGGCTCTGAGACTTTCTTGCTCACTAAGGTATATTCTGTAACCACCACCTGGATTTTACATTCTATAAACAATGTGGGCCCTGGCCGGCTTGGCTCAGCAGTTAGAGCGTCAGCCCACGGACCAGAGAGTCCCAGGTTTGGTTCTCGCTAAGGGCACGTACCTCGGTTGTGGATAAAAAATAAAAATAAAAAATAAATAAACAAGGTAGATGATTACAATCAGCTCACTTCTAGCTTCTCTAAAATCCACATCTCAGTTTGACAAGTTTTTTATTGAATAGATTCTGTGTGCCAGGAACTCAACTGAAATAATGTTTAGCTTGACCAAATTCAGACTAGTAATTAGGGAGATAACATGGAAACATATAAGGGAGGATCAGTGACTTCATAATTATCTTGAGCTGTTGGCTGCTCTAAGTTACTTAGAATATGAGGTGATAAGTGCATTTTGAGGTGAATGGAAAAAACTCTTGAGAGTTCAAAGGAAAGAAGCCACCAGCCACTTAGGTCTACTTTTTACATTTTTATTTATTTTTTATTATATTGTTTTGTTCTAAAAATAAAAGATACAGAGGAAACGCTAAAAAGAAGTGGCATTTCATTAAATAAATTTTAATATATCATGGCTTAAAACTCACTTAATCTGCTGGACGAACATCCTGTTTAGAAGGTATGTTCTGGAGTTAACACATGGTCTGCAGAGCCAGACTCCCTGGATTCCGATCAGGTCTGTCATCTACCATGTGATGTGCACGCCGAGTTTCACTTTCCTCATCTGTACAGTGGGGATAAGAATAGTACTGCCCTGTGGGGTTGTGTGCGGGAAGAGTGCTTGACACAGTGCCCTGCCCTGCACTCTCCAGTGCTCAGAAACTTTAGGTGGCATATGGGGCATTCACACTTCTTTGCTGAGACAAACTCCCTTTTATAAACCAAGAAACGAAGAGCCTTGACTTAACAGTTATCTTTGAGAACCAAGAATTTAGCAGAAATACAGTTGAAGCCTTTGTTGATCCCTTTATGCTGCTTTGCTGTTAAAGTGTTGGCTTCTCTGAGAGCTAATCCAGTTTTAACAGCCTGTGCTTATCTTTATCACTTACGATTTATCAATGTTTGCTACTGTTTAGAACAGACGCTAGTGTCCCTTAGGTAATAAATAATTGTTCTTTTGAAGATAATCTTTATTGAAGTGAATGCAGGTGAGGTGGAGTGTTTTAGACCATTGTTTTAGATGCCTGTTGCTGTCAAGTGTTAGACTGAAGTGTACATTTAGAACTTGTATAACCTGTGAAAACGAAATTCTTTCACAACTAATGTTCTGACTTTTTAAGAATCAAGAAAATTAGTGGTATTTGATTTTATATTTGGAAATGGCCCTTTTGTTTTTTGCTATCAAAAATGGGTAGCCAGACTGAATTTTTTGATAAGGGATGAGCTCTTAATAAATTTGAAAGCCTTAGGACAGTGGTTCTCAACTAGGCATGAGTTCAACTGCCTTGGGTGGGGCATTCGGCAGTTTGGAGGTCCTGGGGGCTGTTCCTGGCATGCAGTGTGCAGAGGCCAGGCACGGTGCTCAACATCCGATAGTCCCCACAACAGATGGTTACTTAGTGCAGAATGTCAGTGGCACTGCTCTTGAGAGACCCTCCCTACTTTAACATTTTTGTCATCTTATAGCTGAAAAACTATAGGTAATTCACATGGAGCATCTTCACAGTTTTACCAGGGTTAGGAAGCCTATTATATGTTTTGGGGGATAGGTTAAATATGAATAAATAAAGAAAGAAAAAGTACCTCCTATTAATGTTTTTAATCCTCACCCGAGGATATGTTTTTATTGATTTTAGAGCAGGGGGTGAGGGGGGACCAATTGGTTGCCTCCTGTTTCCACCCTGAACAGGAATTGAACTTGAAACCTCTTCGTGTATGGGATGAAGCTCCAGCCTACTGAGCCACTTGGCCAGGGTAGTATCTTTATTTTAAACATTGATTGAAATTAACATGAATGAATTTAATTAAAAAGAACTTCTTTTTTTAATAGCTATACAAAGAATCTGGTGACCTTTACAAATGTCATTCCTGAGTGGCACCCACTTAATGCTGCCCATTTTGGTCCTTGTAACAATTGCAACCATAAGTCACAAATAAGAAAAATGGTATTGAAAAGGTGAGTTAAAATTGCTTTACTACTTTTAAAACAAAATGAATGTGGATTTACGTATTTTATTAATGTGTAGTGTTGAAAGTGATGCCTGCAGACTACTTTTCAGGAGTCTGAGTTGGCACATTTATGACTTGCCAAAATGCTTTTCTCTCAGGGACTCTGGCTAACAAGTAAGCTATCTCCTAGGTGAAATGCCACTGAACAGCTGACTTAGGGTGATTATCTGACCCCACTCTCGTAGTGTCTTTTATTCTTTTGCCTTTTTTCTCTCTTAAAGGATATTAACCTTCAGGTATTTTTTTTTTCCTCCTCTGCCAAGTGCCTGAAGTCACTAGAATTCTGGGATTTCTTTAATTTCAAGAACTCATGATTCCAGGATGAGTCACAAGCTCATCAGTTTGAGTTTCCATCTCCCAGACCTTGGCCTGCTGATTCCTCATCCTCTTGTAAGCTTTCTGCTGTCCTTGAGCAGATGTTTATTATATTCTGCCAGCCTTTCTATTTGTCCTTAGTGGGAGGACTAGTCAGAATTACCTTTTCCAGTGGTATCAGAAGCCCTGTATCTTTAAACTCACAGGTGATTCTCTTTTAAGTAATTTGTCTGTCTTTGGTCAGTACACTCACACGTGTACATCCTCTTTAATCTTCATTTTCTGTGGCCCTTATTTCTAACTGCCATAAGGAAATGTTTTGAGGTATAATTTGTTGTAATAAATAACTAGTGATAGTCTTACCTTTTCTGCTGCCCTTGGAATCTTTTCTAAAGGAGAATCTTTTCTAAAGATTTTTTAACAAGTTTATTGATTGATTTTAGAGGGAGAGAAAGAGGGGAGAGAAAGAAACATTGATTTGTTTTTCCACTTATATATGCGTTCATTGGTTGATTCTTGTGTGTGCCCTGACTGGGAATTGAACCCACAACCTTGGTGTATTGGGATGATACTCTAACCAACTGAGCCACCCAGTCAGGGCCTCTATAGGTTTGTTTTCATCCAAGTAATAAATTCCCTATCGAATAGTGCTAAGACTTAAAAAGGATCAGAACCACTCGTACCCCATCTTCAGGCATTTAAACCCTTTAGGTAGTATTTACTTTGACTTTACAAAACATGTGCTTATTCCACCTTAATACAGTCTTCTTTTATAGTACTTGAGTATTGGGGTTCTTGACCAACATGTGGGCTCATCTCTAACTTCTCCCTTCCTAGTTTGGCTGATGTGGCTCAGTGGTTGAGCGTCGACCCATGCACCAAGTGGTAGCCAATTCCCGGTCAGGACACATGCCCAGGTTGTGGGCCTGATCCCCAGTGCAGGGCATGTAGGAGGTGGCCAATCGATGTTCTCCCTCATCGATGTTTCTATCTTTCCCTCTCACTTCTTCTCTCTCTAAAATCAATAAAGGGAAAAAAAAACAAACAAATTTAACGTCTCCCTATATGATTGCATTTTGGTTTAAACCAGTACTCATTGTTTATTATGAATATGCATATATTCCCTCCTTAGCCAAACAGTATTCATGGTTCTGTTTTATTTCTTTTATAAATCTTTATTTTTCCTGGAATTATTGATTGCCTTCTGTTTTTACTTGCTTTATCTACTCATTGTGATTTTTTTCCCTCAAATTCATCAAACACCTATTAATAATTTTCTAAACACCCAATGCTGCACAATTTTGGAGTCTTCCTCCCTTTGTTTTTGTTTGTTTTGTTTTTTTCTGGAAGTCTTTCTTCTGCCTTTTATCCTACTGCTTTAGATTGGTTCCTCTTGGCCTGGTGCATGAGAGTGCTCTGGACACACTTTCTGTCCCTGCCCCAGTTGTAGCCCAGGGACTTACCACCACATACTTCAGCGTGTGTTGCCTCTGCACATGGAGTCTTAGGGCTTCTCTCTGCATCAGCATACCGCTCTGCTGCACTCATGTCGTCACTCTGTCCATTCGGCTTGCTGTTTGTCTCCTAAATGTGTATTCTCTTGTGTTGTTTGCTCGTGTCTCCTTTTTCTTTGTCCTTTTGGTTTGCTACCTTTCTTTTGTCCTTCCCTATCATATGATAGCATTCACATGTAAGGGCAGAGTGGTAAAGGAGAGGCAATGTCGTCAACCAGAAGGCCATAGTCTGTCTTGGCCTCCTGCAGTCCAAGCTTTGAGATCTAAGTGTTGAAGGACCACTTTTGTTTTTTAAGCCTTTTTCTTAATGAGGTAGAAGGGCTGCAGGTGTGGGTGTATACCATCCTACACTGAACCATTGAATTGCTTGAGGCTTCTGGTGTATATAATATCATCTAAGAGTTTATATTTGCTTTTTCTCAAGCCCCAGCATTGAAGATAAATTCATACTACAATTTGTTTTATCTGTTCATTGGTCGCATATAATTTTTAATTATACAAATGTGTTGCTTTACTTAAAGATTTATTCTCCAATCTGCAAATGTATCTGAGGGTGTAATGGTATTTGAGCAGGAAATGTATTTAGTGTTCTAATGGGTCAGTTTATAAGCAGAATTTAGCATTTGAACATTTACTGTATTCAAAAATAAATTGAACCCAGTGTGTAAGATTTTACTTAAAATTTAAATGACAAGGTCTTTATAAAGTCCTTTGTAGTTTTTTACTACGAAATTTGTATAACTTGAATTTTGGCATTTAATGGAATTTAGAAATAAATTTAATACAGTTTTTAGGGATAACTTTAATTAGGTCTGTCATGATATGCATAATTCAGTCTTACAGCATTCTAAAAACTAATAATGTTGTACGTTCCCTGAATACCTTGTCTCAGGTAAATCACACCTCTAATATGTTCCCATTACAAAAAGAGTCCATTGCTAAATCAGATGGACGCTGTTTAGTGGGTCCACATCTACTGCTTCTCTTTAGGTAGCCTGCTTTGGGAATCCCACTCAGAGCGTGGTGGGGACCTGGAGCACCCGCTTTGAATCTGGTTTCATCTTACTTCACCAGCTCTTGAAATGCCCGTCTCCTTCTCTGCACCGCGATGATCTTGAGGAGTGTGGCCACAAACTGTCCTGGATTGTCATTTGAAAAGCATATTTATTTAAATTTCAGTTTTAATAAAGATTTTTTTAACTATTTGAAAAGATAGAGGAGTGGTAGGAAGAGAAATTAGGTATTTCTGTTGTAGCTTGTAGGGCTTATTAAAGTGTCTAGTATGACTTGGAGACTTTTTAAAGCAATGGAAATAAACTACACTTTCTCCTACAAAGCTTTGGGTGGAATACTGATATATTAAATAGTTAAAATTGTTTATTAATTTAAATTTTTATTGTTTGGTAGATGCTTTATTATTTTTATGAAATCCTTGAACTACCTCCAAAGAACATGTTTGAAAACCTTTGTTGAAAAGTTGAAATTTTCTAAAGATGTTTTTCTTGTTTACAATTAACATGAACCAATTCTAATTATTTGAATCACACCTGATTTTACTCATATTTTTTATTTTTATCAGTCTGAAATAGTTCAGTGATGTAATAGATCTAAAATGTAATGTTTTAAAATTATATTTGCAGACTTTTTTAGCCTAAAGCCTACATTACTACAGTTTAGAAATAATATATTCATTGCTAAATTTGCATTTTCCAAAATTTGAATTATTGTTATAGTATATTACTTGGGATGAAAATTAAAACCCTGTATTCCAGCCCTGGCTGGTGTGGCTCAGTGGACGAACATTGGGCCACACACCAAAGGATCATGGGTTCGATTCCCAGTTCAGGGCATGTACCTGGGCTGCAGGTTCATCCCTGGCCCTGGTCACGGCACATGCGGGAGGCAACCAATTGATGTGTCTCTCTCACATCAGTGTTTCTGTCTGGCCCCACCCTGCTTTCCACTCTCTCTAAAATTCAGTGGAAAAAACATCCTCAGGTGAGGATTAAAAACAAATGCCAGGCCATTAGCACAAGACCGTGGCTGCTCTGTGTGGGTCGGAGGCCTCGTGTCCTCTGCTGTCTTTGATGGCATGGCAGGTAGCACAGTCCCTGTGTGCTTCCTTTCTCTCTTTTCTGTTTTCTCTTCTTTCCCTAGGATAGATCCTTACAATAGGAGGAGTTGAACCTCATGTTAGGGAGATGAACGCAAATGGATTTTAGCTTGAAATCGCCTGGTTCCAATTCTGTTAACCCTCCCCATTCAGTTTTCTTACACTTGACTCAGAACCTGACTTGCTCTCCTCAACTCTGAACATCGTCTTTGATACTCCAGGCATTATAGATAGGAAGGATCCTGAGAACAAAATCTGTTGCTGGCTAGGGGTAAACTTCTACCCTCACAGCTGAGAGGCTAGAAATGAGACAAGCTGAAATTATGGGTAGGAGAATACTGTGACTTTTAAGGGACATTAGAGTCTAGTGACTCCAAATGCCATTATTTATAAGTTGTACCATTTTTTAAATTTGCCATTAAGGAAGATCGCCTATTTAACATTTCCACATGTAAACCCGCATGACTGAGATGGCGAAGTCTAGGCATCAACCTGAGAATGCTATAGTAACATTACTAGCTTCAGAAGATACCTTGAAAAGGTATCATGAGACCAAGAGGGAACTAAATATTATTAAAGAGTCAGGCAGGTGCCCTGGCCAGTTTGGCTCAGCGGTTAGAGCATCGGCCCAAGGACTAGAGAAACCCGGGTTTGGTTCCCGCTAAGGACACGTACCTCGGTTGCAGTTTGTCTGCAGCCCTGGTTGGGGTTGTGCGGGTGGCAACCATTTATGTGTGTCTCTCACATCAATGTTTCTCTCTCTCTTCCTCTGTCTCTCCCTCCTGCTCTATCTGAAGATAAATGCAAAAGTGTCCTCGGGTGAGGATAAAAAAATAAAAAAGAGGCAGGTGCCTACAGCCTGCCTTTCCAGCTATGAGAATATCTCTCTAGTTTTACTGTGGATGGTTCATGCAAAGATACATTCTTCATATATTTCTTAATAGATTAGTGATCACTTTAAAAAAAAAAATGTTTTATTGATTTTTAGAGAAAGAGGAAGGAAGAGGGAGAGAGAGAGAAACATCAGTTAGCTACCTCCCACTGGGAATCAAGCCCAAAACCTGGCACTTGAACTGGTGACCTCTTGGTGCATGGGTCCCTGCTCAACCACTGAGCCCCACTGGGTGGGTGGATACACTCTTCATATTTTAACGTACTTGAAATGGGAATACATCTAAAAATTGCTGGCATGGTATAGTTTAATTGTCGGCATTATTTCATAGTACATTTTACAGTCATTGGCATCTTAGATTGACGAAATAGGTGTAATAAAAACCAATGGGAGTTGAGCATTATGAATAATTTTGTAGGACTTTTTATTTTTAGGCACCTAAATTTTGGAGACTTAATTATTCTCTAACAGAATGATTGACAACAGATAATTTTACAAATTGTCCTTGTCAGTCTGAATAACCTGTATGTTGGACATTGATTCAAGTTAATTTTCAACTGAAAAAAATTTCATAAGCTAACTTTTGACAGCTGTTTAAATATTGGGAAGAGAGTCCGGCAGGTGTTGCTCATTGGTTGAGCGTCAACCCATGCAACAAGAGGTCACCGGTTCGATTGCCGGTCAGGACACATGTTCGCGTTGCGGCCCGATCCCCACTGTGGGGCATGCTAAAGGCGGCCAATTGATGTTCTCTTTTATCAGTGTTTCTCTCTCTCCCTTTCCCTCTCTCTCTCCCTCTCTATCTAAAGTCAATAAAGGAAAAAGAAAAAAAATATTGGGAAGAAAAATTAAACCTTTTCCTTAAATCCTGAGAGCTTTATTAAATTTAGTTATTCAAGGCTCATCTTTGGGTTCTATTTTCTGATTAACCATGTTTCTGTAATGATGTATTTTTTAAATTATGCAGACCTTGAAGTTTATCGTAAATTAACCAATATGTTGTATTTTCTTCTCTACTTAGTTACAAATTAAGCTTTTCCTAAATGGAAATTTTAATTTGATGGACCTTTCTACTTCCTGAGTTAACTGGAGAGAAAAGGTTCAAATTGTTAGCATGTAGGGGCTTTTTCATGTTTATTTGAATATCTTAGGCTTGTTATTTTGTTTCAACTATTATCCCCCTTAACAAAAGCAGTTCATTTGGGCACTTCATGCCAAGAAAATTCTAACAGTTCTGGATTTTTCCTTTGATTCTACAAAATAGTTACCACGAGATTTTTTTTTTTTTTTTTTTTAATTGATTTCTAGAGAGAGAGCAAGGGAGAGGGAGAGCAAAATATCAATTGGCTGCTTCCTGCACGCCCCCTGCCGGGGATCAAGCTGCAACCGGCAACCTTTTTGTGCACAGGATGTCGCCCAACCCACAGAGACACACCAGCCAGGGCCCTAGAGATCTTTAAGCTGAAGCAGCAACAGGGCTTACAGAGAGCAATATTTGTTTAATGGTCTGTGTTAGAACCTTATTGCATGATGGTTCCCAAATGTTTGTGATCCTGTTCTGAGAAGGGTTTAAACATTACCTGTGTCTTAGGGTAGTTTCTCCATTTCTAATTAAGGCATACGTATACTGGAGGTGCTAAGAAGAATTAGCGCGTTGGCCTTGTATGACTTACTGGCTGCAGACCATCTTTCATCTAATCAGGCACATGGTACTCAATTTGTTTGACCTCTCTTGCCTTTCTCTCCCACAGAGTGTCTCCCATATTCATGTTGCACTTTGTAGAAGGCTTACCACATAACGACTTGCAGCACTACTCATTTCATTTTGAAGGCTGTCTTTATCAAATAACTTCTGTAATTCAGTACCACGCGAATAATCATTTTATAGCATGGATTTTAGATACTGATGGTAAGTGTTAAAACATTTTTCTTCTATGATAATAGGCATAGAGACTGAACTCTGTTGTTTTGAAAAAACAGACTTTGCTTTGACTCTTTTTTCTCGTTCTTCTTGCCCTTGCCTTTGCTTTTTCTGTCCTTTCCTTCACCTCTACTATGGTTTAGAGCCACTCCTAACTTTTCCCTTTGCTTATGTCAGCATATCGATGTGCATACATATGCATAACCCTATTTCATTTTCAGAAAACCAGATCATGTACTACCAGTGGTTTAAAGTTTGCTATTTTCCACTTAATATCTTTGTTTTATTATTTTTATTACATGAGTAATATATATTCAGTATAGAAAAATGAATGGTGGTAATTTGATATTTTAGGTACATAACCTTCTACTTGTAAAGAAAGTGCACAGTACTGAAGGTTTTTAATCGAGAAATAACAGGTTTTACAGATTGCAATCCAAATAAGGACTTTAAGACTTGACAGAGAAAAATGGTGACATGAGGCTATGGTCATGTTTCCAGTTACTCTCCTCAGTGGGTAGTCAGTGGTATCGCAGTTTAGGTGGCCGGAAGAAAGTTTATGCGGGATGGTGGTTCTGAGTGTCTGACCTCTTACACTGTCTCCCTCATTCCCCAGGAAGCTGGCTGGAATGTGACGACTTAAAAGGCCCATGTTCTGAAAGGCGGGAGAAATTTGAAGTTCCTGCTTCAGAAATACATATTGTTATCTGGGAAAGGAAAACTGCCCAAATGACAGATAAAGCATCTGCCTGTCTTCCACTTCAAAAGACGAATGATCAGCCTGCTTTCAGCCATGAGAAACAGCCACCTCCAGCAGCGTGCTCTGCGGGTGCTGCCGCCGAAGCACCCTCAGGACCGTACCCCCAGCAGTCACCAGTTGCTCCTGATACTCTTTCCCAGGATGAAGCTTTAGCTCATCGACCTCATTTACTGTCAGGTCCTGAAGGTTGGGTTAACAATGGTATTATGCCTCTGACACTTGAAAACATACACATTAACTCTGAAGATTTCCTGTTAGAAGATATACCTGTGGTAGAAAATGGAATGGTCGTCAAAACAAATACTTTGCAACCGCAAGAGTTGCTAATGGCGTCTTTGGTATCGGCTCCACATGAGGAAACGTTTACCCAAGACCAGTGTGTGGGCTTGAGCTTCCCGTCTCAGGTTGTGAACACAGACGTGCAGTCAGTCCAGCCGAACTCGGCAAGTGCTGTGATTGCCAACCCTGTGACTGATGTTCACGCTGCTGGTCCTGGGCCGGGGGTACAGGCGGGAGGAACTGAGGGTCCAGTCGCCCTGGAGAGGGATGTGCCGTTAGAACAATTTCTTGCACCGAAGACTGCGAAATTAAAAGCAGAACAACACATTACACCTCCGGTATCTAATTTGAAGAGAACGTTTTCTCAAACTACAGCATCTGAGTCATCACAGAATTCATCTCGGAGAGAGAGTCTGAAGAAGCCATTCGTGGGAAGTTGGGTTAAAGGCTTATTAAGCAAGGGCGCTTCTTTTTTGCCACCTTGTGTTTCAGCTCAGAATAGAAACACTATAACTGACTTGCAGCCTTCGGTTAAGGGGGCAAGTAATTTTGGTGGCTTTAAAACGAAAGGTACGAACCAGAAGGCTCACCGGGCGTCCAGGAAAGCTCACAGGCATGCGAGTAAGCCTCCCGCAGTCAGTAACCCTCCCCTGGGTCTTCCGCCATCCAGCCACACGGCTTCTCCACGTGATGTCAGCGCTGACCTGGACGTGCACGAAGACGCCTCGAGGGGAGCTCACCTCAACCACAGATCTCATGGAAATGAAAATGCTGTTGCTGCAGCAAACCATGACGACTCTGTTGAGGATCAGATTCATAAACTTCGTTTAAAACTTCTTAAAAATCTTAAGGCAAAAAAGAAGAAACTAGCTGCTCTTACTTCCCCCCCAAATGGGAAACTTGCGAGTGAAAATTTGGAACACGTGTCCCATTGTGGGTCTCCAAATGATGATCAATCAATAGAAGGCTTATTAAAAGAACTGCAGTATCAAATTGATATTGCTGATAATAAATCTGGAGGAACCACCATTCCTATTGTTCCTCCGTACAGTGGTCAGACTCATGAAGACATTTTAGCAGAATTACTGTCTCCTACAACTGTTTCAGCAGAGCTCTCAGAAAATGGGGAGGCTGACTTTAGGTATTTAAAAATGGGAGATAACCATATCCCAGCACCAGTACCTAGTGAATTAAATGCTGTTCCCCAAAACACACATCTGAGACAGGACCATAATTATTGCAGCCCCACCAAGAAAAATCAGAGCCAAGTTCAGCCAGACCCACTAACAAATAATGCTTGCGATAGAACATTGAACTTGGAAAGTCCCCTGAAGAGTGATGTTTTTGATGAGTTTTTTTCCACTTCAGCATTAAGTTTAACAAGTGACACATTAGACTTACCTTTTTTTGATGAATGTCTGTTTGAGAGTTGTTGAATGCTTATTAACTTTTTACTTTTCTTTGTTATTACTAATTTATTTATTTCAGAGAGAGGGAGGGATGGGGAGAAAGAAACATCGATCGGCTGCCTAATAGGGATCAAGCCCGCAACGTGGGCATGTGCAGATCACACCAGCGAACACCTGGTGCGTGGAGAACCAGTGCTCAGCCAGCTGAGCTGCACTGGCCTACAACTCTTTTTAGTTTAATATTGATCATTGTCTTGGAAACACTTAACCGTGTTCTTGGGTAGTGTTTATACACTGGCCTTGTCATGAACAAAATGTAAGCTGCTGAAGGTTTTACCTTCGATTCTGTCCATAAAGCATGTAATTTGTTTTACAAATTAAAATGACCGGGTATCTGTTCTCCTTTCTGGCTTCATGTTATATTTCTAGGGCATCAAGGATTTCAAAACATTAAAAATGAAAAGTGGTGTCTAGTTTCTGGCAATTTGTACAGTTTGGGTACATTAAATTTCCACATTGTAATTTTGGTTACATTGGCTCAGGAAAAACACTGTGGAAACGTAAGTAACTATATAAGGTATGTGACTGTGTGACTGTTCTGCTAACGGTTCTGTGGTCTTATAGAAGAGCCTGAGCCTCTTGTTACACCAACAGAGTGGAGTGGAAACTTCATCTGTACAGCTGGGATTTTTTCTGTCCTTACAAAGTGGGGCAGGAAACCTTGTTACTAGAAATTTAAGTAATGGTTATGATCATTAAATGACCTATAAAAGGAAAAGGTAATCTGTTTTTGCAATGATGGGCAGAATTTATAATACCATAAGTATCTTTCTTCCCAAGAGATTTATTTCTGTAACCAAAGTGGGGCACCATCCAACAGTTCTGTTTTGGGAGAAAATAATAACCAGTGCATGCAAAGCTTGCTATGTGTTAGGTTCTGTTATTTAGGAAACACTAATTCATTTAAACCGTAAAGTTCCTACGAGCAAGATACTTCTATCACATTTAACGCATAAGGAAACTGCACAGACAGTTGTAGAGCTAGGACTGCTAAGTGCTCACTACAACAGTTGAAAGTGCTCAACTTGCCAATATAGGTCCCCCTCAAGCTTCATTTAAAACCTGGATGTCCAACAGCGTCCTGCTGTACTGACTTGATAGTAACAGCAGTTACTGAGGGTTAAGGCTGGCAGTCTTGGAGAAGAATACTTTGCCAGGGACTCAGTACTTGATAGTAGATTTGTCAAGTTTATTCCCCAATCTCCCAGCACCCCCCACCCCTTTTTAATTACAAAAGTAATGCATGTTTATTTTTGTAAGGAAAAGGTGGGAAAATACAGAAACACAAAAGATTTTGGATCATCTTCATACTTGGTAATAGCTACAAACATTCTCATATTTTTATGCACATGGACTGTAAGAAATAAAAGTTGGATTCTATCGTGCCTACTTGATCTGTTTTTACTTAATGTCTAGTGAGCCTTTTATCCATCTTAACAGTTTTTGACAACATTTGGCTAGTCATGTAATACTACGCTGTGTAGATTTCCATTGTCTCACCAATCTTTAGTTGTTGAGGTGATTTGTAATGTTTTATTATTGTTAATTGCACTACAGAGATTATTCTTGATAAAATTTTTGCACAGATCCAGGTCTTATTTCCTGGGAGTGAATTGCTTGGTCAAAGGATGTGTACTTTTAAAAGTATATTTAGGAAACACTAATACATTTTTAAAAAAGTCTTAATAATTGCATGATTGACTTTATCTAAAACTTTTTTTAAAAACTTGAGCTACTGAAGGTTTTACCTTTGGTTCTGTTTGAGAATTGTTGAATGCTTGTTAACTCTTCTTAGTTTAACATCTGTTTTTGTCTTAGAAAAACTTTGATGTTTTGCCTGGCCAGTGTGGCTCAGTGGTTGAGCGTCGACACATGCACCAAGGTCACCCGTTCAATCCCCGGTCAGGGCACATGCCCAGGTTGTGGGCCAAATCCCCAGTGGGGGGCATGCAGGAGGTGGCCAGTTGATGTTCTCATCGATGTTTCTATATGTCTCTCTCTTCCTTTCTCTCTAAAATCAATAAAGAAAAACTATGTTTCAGGTAGTGTTTATAATACATTAGCCTTGTCAGGAACAAAATGTTCCCGATCTCACTAACTCGAGGCAGTAGCGTTGATGGGGAAACGCTTAGCTTTTTTGTTTACATCTCCATGATCACTAGTTAGATCGGATATTTTCCATAACTTGACTGGCCAGTTGGGTTTCTCTGATGAATTGCTTATCCATCCTTTTTTTTTTTTTATCCTCACCCGAGGACACTTTTTCATTCTTTGTTCAGATAGAGCAGGAGTGAGAGAGAGAGAGAAACATCGATGTGAAAGGGACACATCGAGTGGCTGCCACCTGCACGACCAACCAGGGCCGGGGACAAACTGCAACCGAGGTACGTGCCCTTAGCGGGAACCGAACCTGGGTCTCTGGACTGCAGGCCGACGCTCCAACCGCTGAGCCAAACCGGCCAGGGCTCCATCCTTCTTATTGTTCATTCAGGGCTTTCTAGATTTCTGCTAGGTGCCAATGCACTGTTGTAAACCCCCAAGATAAGGCAGTAAAAAAAGCTAAAATTTTTTTTTGCCCTTCAGGAGTTTCCCTTCTAAATGAGGTACTTTTGTAACGTTAGGTGGTAATAGGAGATATGTACAGTTAGTTCTGGTGTTTGCAGTAGTTCTGTGAAATTCACTGTGCATGCTGAGTTCACAAATATTGAACCATTGCCCCAGGGGAAACAGGTCAGGTTCCTGTGAGCCTCTTCGTCATCACATTTTTGTCAACTGATCCACAAATAACCTTGTTGTTTGTGTGTTTCTGTTTAAAGACACCTTATACAGTGGTTCATCCCTTATCTGTGGGGGACACATGCCAACACCCCAAGGTGCAGAGAGTCCCGGCCCCTGAGCAGCCTGTTTCCTTCTGTACATACATACCCACGATGAAGCTCACGGCTGCCTGGCATGTCCGAGCTGCAGCATCACTGCTCGCTCGTTGGGGCCATTGTTAGTGAAGGTGTCCTTGAACACAAGCACTGCGCAGAGACACTGGACAAAGGGAAGATCTCTGTCCTGAGCAGGACAGAGTAATACGGTGCAAGATTTCATCAAGCTATTCAGAACAGCACGTGCGTGATTTAAAACATAAGCTTTATTTCTGGAATTTTCTATGTAATATTTTTGGACCGTGGGTAACAAAAACTGCAGAAAGGGAAACCCCAGATGAGGCGGGGTGGAGGGGATCAATGTGTGTGTCGTTGGTTCATTAACTCCGACACAAAGCCAACAGCACTAGAATTCGTGAACTTGCTGCCCTCCCTCCATCAGGCGCGTCACACCTGGCACGTGGGAACACTAGACGGCACTTCAGCACGAGGGAGCCCTTTAAGCAGAGAGATCAACCAACAGCACAAAGTGAAAAGTGTGACAAAATAGACCTTAAAAAGAAAGAACTGAAACAAAGGCAGGTCGACTTGTTAAGACCTCAACTGGGACCATGTGTGTGAGGCGACTCCTATTTTCACTGCTCTGTGCGTGTCCATAAATGACTGCAAAGGCATGTCAAGCGGTGATCTTTAGGGTTACAAATACATTTTGGAAAGTAGGCAAATTCACAAATACAGAATCTGTGAATAATGATGGTTGACCGTGTTCACATGGCTTAAGTGCTATGGAGAAGAAAACTGCATGGGCAATGGGAGGACTACTTTAGACTGAGAGGACTTGGAAGGGTTCTTGGAGGTGGGGACTTTGGGCTGGGACTTCAGTGAGGTTAGGAAATTGGCTGTGACTGAATGAAGGGAAAACAAAGTCTGAGCACAGGGAAGAGGCCAGTGTGGTGGAGCAGAGGGAGCCAGGGGAGAAGAGTTAGAACATGAAGTCAAAGAGGTTGGCGGAAGCCAGGTGTGTCCAGCTCTCTGGGGCCCCTGCCTGCACTTGAGAACAACAGGAAGCCACTGGTGGTCACAGGCAAGGGAGTAGCATGACCGAGTCTTGAGTTTTCAAAGGATCGCTGAAGTGCGGACCGGGACTAGGGTGGGTCGGAGTGGAGGTGCTGGTCTCTTCCAGTCTCCTTCCAGTTGGAGGGCGATAGCTGGAGAGGAGTGAGGACGTAGCTGGCTTGCTTTCCATTTGCATTTCAGAGCCAGCACGATGTGTTGCTGGGTTGGATGTGGGCTAGAAAAAGCAGTCAAAGATCAATCTCAGTTTTTGTTGTCTGACCAAATGGGTTGTGCTATTTCCTGAGATGGGACAGATTTGGGAAGGAAAATAAATGAAAGGAAATAACTTGATTTTGGATACATTAAGGGGAGGATTCCTATTAGACTCCCAGATGGAGATAACTTCACAGGAAGTTGGAGCTGCGACACGGGCCCGGAGAGAGGCAGACACCGGAGATACTCTTAGGAATTAGGAATGCGTGGGTCCTATTTGATGCCATGCTGTAGGATGTGGCCATGGAGGGGTTCAGACAGCTCTGGGGAACAAAAGGGGCAGATGGAGGAAAACCAGGTGAGCGGGGTGTCCTGAAAATCAAGGGAAGAAAGTTTTTTTGTTTGTTGGTTGGTTTGTTTTTAAAGGAGGTACTGGTGCTGCTAAGAGGTAGAGTGATGTGAGGACTGGGAGGTGACCACTGGCTTGGTAACAGGGAGGTCTGGTGACTTAGCAAGGACTGTTCAGTAGCGCTGTGAGGACCAGTGAGTGGGTTCAAGAGCAAAGGGATGGCAAGAAAATGCAGATAAAAACTCATTCTTTCGAAACACTTATCTGGTGCCCGGTGAGGGAATGGAAGGAAGGTCAAGGCTTTTGTTAATGTTTTTAAGATGGGAGATGTCACAATATGTTTATGTGTGAAACCAATTGTTCTGCGGAGAGACAAAGGGATGTTGTGGATGAGAGAAGGGACAGTCGTGGGAGCTAGGAGAGTTGACCCATTTTAATGCTAAGAAAGATGCAGTATCTAGGTACAGATATCAGGAGACTTGACTAGAGAATGAGAAAGGTCTGGTGATTATTTTCTCGGGGATATAGAGAAATCATCAGCTGAGGGTGTGAGGGGAGGAGGAGCTGAAGACTGGGGAAGAGAGGTTTGAATTATTAGTTTCAAGAGCTAACCGAATAGGGACAGGTGGAGGCTCACTAGGCAATTCCGAGAGCCCACCAGAGGTGTATGGTCCTACGTTTACCAAAGACCGGCTAAGTTAGTTTATTTTTCTCCAAACATGTTTGCTGCTCAGGTGCAGGACAGAGGGGGAAAGGTGTAAAGTTGGATTCAGCCAAAGTTAGAGGTATTGTCAGATGAATGGGACAAGGAAAGGAATTGAGGTGTTATGCAAGGAAAATGATGATAGTGACGGATAAGGAGGAAAGTAGGGACATGGGGCAGGTGATAGTCATTTAAAAAGTGGTG